AGGGAAAGTGAAACTGTTGGTGAGCACTACTCACTGATCTTCTGTTCCAAAAAACTTTACAAAGAAGCATTTCTTCCCACGCGGTTTCTTTAAGTCCTTGGGTGGGTTAACAATCTAGGGGATGAAAGGGAAGAAAAAGGCTTTTTTCCACAGGTATAAGTTGGTAAGAAAAAAATAAAAGAAACACATCTTAAAAAACCAAACCAAACACAGGGCCTAGTTTCTGTCCAAATCTGTCACTTTTCTACTGAGATATGTGGAAATGTGCAAATATGCCAGGAGTTCCCTACATCTACTATGGTCTACAGTGTTCAGCAGATACAATATACCCTTCACTAAAATGGCCCTTTTTTTTTTTTTTTTTGTGGTACGCGGGCCTCTCACTGTTGTGGCCTCTCCCGTTGCAGAACACAGGCTCCGGATGCACAGGCTCAGCGGCCATGGCTCACGGGCCCAGCTGCTCCACAGCATGTGGGATCTTCCCAGGTCGGGGCACGAACCCGTGTCCCCTGCATCGGCAGATGGACTCTCAACCACTGAGCCACCAGGGAAGCCCGGCCCTGTTTTAAAAGCAGTTAAAACTAAGGCCAACGTCATTACCCCCTGCAATGTGAGCCTGTCATCATTGAAGAAATGTAGAGAATACTCTTAAAAATACTTCTGTGCAGAAAGAGACAGGTAACAGCGACAATGAATAACTACTGAGGCACTGAAAATGCCATATTGCAAATAGACAGTCTAAAGACACTTCCTGGGCTCCTAGCAAGAGTATAAAAACAGAACATTTGGAAAGCTATGAGGGATCGCCTCATGCAAAATGTGGAATGCCAACTTCTGCAAAGATGCCCTAGAGTAGCACATATGGTAAAATGGAAAAAAGATTTAAACTTAGTTGGGACAAAAATACTTTGACTTTTCACTAACCTACATTTAGATTTTTCTTCCTGGAAAATTTATTTGCTTTTCCTTTTGTTAGATTTAAGTGCAAAGCTAAATTCAACTTAGAATGGATTTTCAGGTTAAAAGACTTTATCACAAACCACCTCTGACTCAAAAAATAATAACTTACTACAAATTAAAGGACCTGGTTTACATTATACTGCCGTTTCTAAATAAACTGATACTAAAGAGAAAAAAATTCCCAGTGTTATTTAAGTAAGCCCAGTTTAACTCAATGCTAGAAACTGAGGAGGAATACATCTTACATTCTTCCCTTCCTCAAACCCAACTTTAGACGTTTTAGTAGCAAGACACTCACCTTTCCCGGCCAAGGAGGATATCGGCCAAGTTTCCCCCTAGAGAAAACACAGAGTCAGCATTTGCCCTGGAAAAGCCAGTCCATCTTCAACTCACTCAACATGCAATTTATTTGCCTAAATCTCCACTTCCACCCTCAAGTGCCAGAACAAAAGCTGGCAACCCGGAGTTCTTAATGTGACTTCCACAGCTGGGCCCAAGAGGCCCAAGTCCCTCAGAAATGCAATGCAAAATTGTAGACTTATGTGCATAGGTATGGGCATTCTGCTGGTGAGAAGAAACACATTAAAACAAAACCACCAAGAGTCGTTTGTCTAGAGCCTCTCCGTGACGTGACGGGGGTGGGGGGCAGTTCGCTCTGTAAACACAGACTTCCCCTTACAAAGTCTGGTTTAATTCACCAGCCTGGCTTTGACAAATGCTTATGGAAGCCCTTCCTCTGGGTCGAGAAACGAGCTACGCAGCTCGAGGGAGGCGGCGACAGTCAGTCTCGGTTCGGGCGGTTGTCTGGGACACAGAAGCAGACCACGAAAGGCACCCAAAAAGGTACTGGTCACTGCCAACCCTACGGTTGTAAAGGAAAAGTCCCCCTTCCATTTCTTCACAGGGCAGCGCCAGCAGTCCGGTTTCGACACCCCCGGCTGAGCCGCCCGCACAGGTCAGTTCAATCGCAACGCAGGTTTCGACGGGCTTGCCCGGACGAGATGGCCCCGCGGGCTCTCCGGCTTTCCTCCTTTCCCGGGAGGCCCAGCCAGACCCCGAGGCGCGGCCCCGGGCATTCCCCGCCGCCAGCGTCCGGGTCCGGAGCGCAGCACTACCCCGGCAGCCTTGGGGCTCAGAGCCGGGCCCGCTGCGGCCACCCTCGGGCTCAGTCCCCCGGGGCCAGGCTGCCCCTTCCGCCCAGCTTCGTTCCCAGCGCCGGCACCTGTCTCGCCCTCTCTCCACGACCTGGAGCACATAGAAAAGCAGCCTCCAGGCGGGCCGTGCACCTCACGCCTAGAGAAGCAGCTCCCCGCGAACCTCGCTTGGCCCTGGCAGCCCAGACTCACCACACCAAATCGCCGAGCCGCAGACTCACAGCCGCCATCTTACCACCCAACCACCGCCGACGCACGGGCCGTCGGGAACATCAGGTCGCCCCGGCGCCGCCCATTGGAGTGAGCCCTGTCACATGACGGGGGCCGGCCGTAACCGGCCACGCCGCTTCCTTGACGTCACCGCGCCCGCAGGGGCTTATTGGTCGGTCGAGCAGCACGTGACCCGGGAGCAGCGGTCTCCGCGCGCCGGATCCCGGAGACTCCCGGCTCCTTCCCCCTCCCTCCGGCTTGTGACAACGAAGCGCTGCGGTCTGAGGCGGCGGCGACGGTGCGGCCGGCCAAACGAGATAGGGAGCCGGCCCTGCGGGCGCCCCGCCCCCGGGCCCTGGCCTCCAGCCCGCTCCCCCTCGGCGCTTCCGTTACGGCCGTTACTCCCTCGCGGGCCCCCGGGCCGGCCGTGTTGCGGCCCCGGCAGCTGCCCTGACGGACTTCAGCGCGGCCTGGAAGACAGCCTCCGCCCGCGTTCGGGGCCCCGCACCTGGCGGGCTCTGCGTGGTCGCCCCCGGGCGGCGGACAGGTCCTTCGGAGCGCGCTTTCTAAAGGCCGGCGTCGGGGGAGCCGCTCCGAGCCTGCGTCCGCGCCACAAGTTCTCCAGGGGCGAAGTGCTGCCCGCCCCGAGGTTCCGAGTTGGCTGGCCGGCGTGGAGCCGGCGTCTCTCCGCTTCCTCTTGGGTCGGCGCGGCGGCACGGCCGGCGAAGCTTCCCCCGGGCGCGCGGGTACCCGGCCATGGGCCGCGGCGCAGGGCGGCCGCCCGCCTGGAGGCATGGCTCGGGGGCCGGCCGCTAGCGGCGCCGCAGCCCGGGCTCCCGGGCCGGCATGAGGACGGCCGCGGGGGGACGAGTGCGGCCCGTGGGGCTGTAGCCTGCGTTGCTCCGGTGACAAAGGTGCGTGTGTTTGTCGGGACCGGGCTCTCATGTAAGCCTTGTTGTAGTTTGACACTTTTAGGGAAGTTGGGAGCAGGCAGTTGTGACAGCAGGAAGGCAGATGCTAGGCGTAGTTTCAGTACGTTAAAACTAAACCATTGAATGGGGAACCGTGAACAGCAGTTCAACACAGCGTCTGCCTGAACGTCAACATCCCAGGGAGAAAATTAAAAGTCCCAATCGCAGTTCCAGAACCCAAACAGTTAAGTCAGGTGTTGACTTAACTTAGAACCGGACTTTTCTTGAGTCACCGCCTGCTTGCAAAGGTGGCAGGTCCACACGCCGTTTCCTATGGGCGTTTTGTTATTACGGAGACTGGTTGTAAGCGGGTTGTTAGCGAACTGGCTTGTCCGCAGTCTGGTTTCTCTTTGGAGTTCAGTTTCCCTGAAGTACCGTCAGCTGTTTTCAGGAACTGTCATTTACTGTTAACTATTTTGTGTTTTTTTAAAGACGAGTTGATCATTTAAAGCGTATTTAAGTTTCCAGGATATACCTTAATAAAATTCAACACATTCTCTTAGTTTAAAAATTCTTAAATTTTGAGGAAGGATACTTGAATGACCTCATAAAATACATGAATCTTAAATCAACTTCACAGTGGACCTAGAGACATTTCTGTTAAGAGTCAGGAACATGGTAAGGAATATATTGTCTGATATCCTGGCAGTTCTAGCCAATGCAATAAGACATGAAACAAAAATAAAACATAATTTTTCAGAAAGAAGACAAAATTCTCATTTTTGTGGATGATGGGACGGCCTGTTTTTAAAAACAAAGTTAAGGGAAAGCCATTAAAATAAATAAGAGGTCCTTGAACAGACTAATTACAAAATCAGCATAAAATTCAGTTTTTCTACATTTCACCAATAATCATTTTGAATATATGATTAAGAGGGTATGTAACAACAACAAAAAGTACTATTCCTGGGAATAATCTGAGAGGGAAAAGGAGGCTAGTATTTCTTGGGTAACATCAGTTGAAGTTTTTTAAGAGGGATGCTTTTGTTTTTAGAAAACTGTACTTTTATTTAGAATTAATGGGGACTTCCCTGGTGGTGCAGTGGTTAAGAATCCGCCTGCCAATGCAGGGCACATGGGTTCGAGCCCTGGTCCAGGAAGATCCCACATGCCGTGGAGCAACTAAGCCCGTGTACCACAACTATTGAGCCTGCGCTCTAGAGCCCGTGAGCCACAACTACTGAAGCCTGTACACCGCAATTACTGAAGCCTGCACGCCTAGTCCTGTGCTCTGCAACAAAGAGAAGCCACGGTAATGAGAAGCCCGTGCACCGCAATGAAGAGTAGCCCCCACTTGCTGCAACTAGAGAAAGCCCGCGTGCAGCAACGAAGACCCAACGCAGCCAACAATTAAAAAAAAAAAAAAATTTAGAATTAATGGTCAGCTCATTAAAATCGAGTATTTAAACGCTTAGCTTTTTAAAAGCCTTTTAAGCTTTGTCGACAAATCTTTTATTTATAAATCTAAGAATGTTTACATGAAAATAAATGTTTGATTTTTGACAAAGCTTCAATTAAGGCAACAGTTTAATAGATTAAATTCCCGTAAACAATGAGCTCTTTCTTACGAAATTAAATTCCCTTAAATGTTTTACACAGCATTTAAAGCTTTATATGCTTGTTCTCTCAAATACTTCAAAATTCTAAAACAGTGAACTTGTAAACCTAGAAGTTAAATCTTTCCAAGGACTTAACTCTTTTAAGTCTAATAAACGTGTAAATGTAAGTCAGGTCTTTTAAAAGCACACTTTCAAATTTAGTTATATTACCTTAAGCATTTCAAATTAAAATTGTAAGTCTAACATCATTCGTTAAAATGTCTGATTCTCTTAAATGTTTGAAATGACTTAGTAACAAGCAACAGCAATTATCACGATGACTGTAAAACTTAAATGAAAATCTAAGTGTTAATATGCTATAGGTTTGATTTACTTTATTTTCTAGTCTTATTTCTGTATTTTCGCAGGCCTGCAAAGTCACTTACACAGCTAAGAGATGAATTTTTACCATCTGGGTTGATTGAAGTTACACTATCTAAAATTTGGGATGAGATAAGGTTACATTTTTAAATTACTGCCTAGTCAAGGGCAGGGACCTAGTTCCCACTTCTAAGATGACCTTTCTGCATCCCATCAGTTAATATGCAGATTCTCTTCTTACAGTGAGAGTTTGCCTGCATTAATGAGTAGGGGACCTTTATACCTTCACCTTCACTTTGCCTGCTTTTATGAGTGGGGGGACCTTTATGAAATCCCTTTCAGCTGGGGTTTATTTCCACAATTTAGAGAATCACGACTGTTGTGGGGGCCTTGAAAGTTTCTTGTAGGGGAATTTCTTTTGACATCTTAGTGCATGATGGTCTTTTGCATCACCAACCTGTTTTGCTGCCGGTTGCTTTGTTTTCTATTTCAAATTATTTTAACTCTTCATTTTTAGATATTTCACTCCCTTACCTGGTCTTATAGATCACAATTTTATGGTCATGATAGAAGAAGTGAATATTGCATGTGTACAGATACACATGATGAATATGGATATATAAGATATATATAAATCTTCCTGAACTAATTCACATTTATGATTCATTTGCATTCAAAATGCAGTGAGCTTTTTGAGGAAACTTACCAAAATGATTTTTAAATTGATCTGAAATAATTAATAGGCTAGAATAGCGAAGTATTACTTTTAAAAGAATAATAAAAATGAATCTTTAAGTTGTTGAAATATACCATCGAATTTTTCAAATCAGTGCTGTACTGGTTCAGGAATCTAGATACTAGATGGATATAACAGGATGCATTACAGAAATAAACCTTAAGATATTAAAGACATGATATATGCCAAATCAGCAGGGAAAAGAGGAATTATTTGGTGATTGATGCTGGGGAAAAACCCGGTTAGGGCCTCACCTCTCACCTTATAGTAAATTCAACTTGGATTAAAGAGTTCAATGTGAAAAATACATCTATAAAACAAGAATGGGTAAATTCTTCTACAAGAATTACTTGGTTGGAGGAGGACATTATAGGCATAAAAGAAATGAAAGAAGCCATAAGGGAAAAGAGCCTAGTTTTAACTGCATAAAAAGCTAAAATTTCTTTCAACATACCTCACTCTATGCAGTAAATAGCAAAGCAGGAGAAAGTATGAGAAATATGACAGGCATTACGTATTTATTATTTATAGATCTATAACAAGTCAAAAGCCCTCACAAATCAATTTTAAAAGCTGCGATTTTTTTCAACCATTCCCTTAATGCTGGACACTCAGGTTGCTTCTGTCATTTTTCATATACAAACAAGGCTACAATGAATATTCTTATTTATTGGTGTGGTGGAATGTGGGTTTTAAAAGGTAGGACACAAAATTACACATAAAGCACACACACAGTATATAGTGTGATTTACATGTTTATATTCTGTAAATCCTTGGAATTCTGTAGTTCACAATATACTTTGATCATTTCCAAGCAACTTTGAAGGTCTTTGGCCTGTGATAATTTGTCACTTTGCTGAGGCCCAAGTTTGGGTGGTGAGAGGCTGGTGTTCAGAAGTGAGCCTAGCCACACTGCTTCTGAGACAGTGGTCTTACTTATCCTGGGGTAGGCAGTACTTCTCTGAACTGATGAAAACTGTCATTGTGAAGAATGGCCCTACATGAAAGTAAACTGCTGGTGATGAAAATAAAGAGGTTTTAAGACAGAGGTTATTCTCAGCCAGAAGTAAAAAAACATGTATTGGATAAATTAAATGAAAACCAATTTTTTCTAGGATTCTTTGCAATTCTGAGGATTCTTTAAGGCTCTATCAGCATGGGTTCTCTAGTGTCAAGAATCTAGTGAATATGCATAGAAAAAAACTGGAAGGAAGTATGCTAAACTGATTATCTCTGAATGATAGGATTTGGGGTGCTTTTCATATCTATATGAAATTTTTTATATTTAAAATAAATAGTATTTAAGAAGAAAAAAGCAGCAAATGGTAATTAAGATAAATTTAACAGTGATTCTTCTTGACAGTGAAATTTTTTTTTTAAACTTAAATCTGTATAACTGAACAAGAAAAATCACCATTTTTATCATCTCAGTTTGACCTGGCTCTTCTTTTCAATGTTAACAGAAGCCATGCAGTGACACCTGTTAAGACTTGTTGGTAGCCATGTCGGAGCCCCACAGGGTCCAGTTCACCTCTCTCCCAGGTTCTTTGAATCCTGCATTTTTGAAGAAATCCCGGAAAGAGGAGGTTGGGGGAGCAGAACAGCATCAGGACTCTGAGCCGGCTGCAGCAGCTGTTCGGATCACACTTACCCTCTTTGAGCCAGATCACAAGCGCTGCCCAGAGTTCTTCTACCCAGAGCTGGTGAAGAACTTACGAGGGAAGGTGAAAGGACCTCAGCCTGCAGACAAGGTATACCCCAGTGACCCCAGCTCACTCTGCAGATCTAATGCTCTGGGCAGCGTGTGTGGATGGGGCTTCCGGAGGGTGGAAGCAGCAATAGTGAGGCTTTGGGCTCCCCCACAAAGCAAGCACAAGGTCTGCTGGTTTTTCCTCTGGTAGGAAGGGATAGAATTCTTTCTAGAACCATTCTCCTGATTTATGCTAGAGAAAATGTATGGCACATCCAAGGCTAATTTGAATTATGGCTAACTAATATGAATAAATAACCAAATTTTTTCATACCGAGTCTATAAATGTTACATGTAAGTGTGACCAGTCCCTGGCTTTTCCAGTGCTGGAATTTCATGCTGGACATTGCTCTTTTCCAAGGGAATCTCACTGTGCCTAATATTAGGGCAAGCAAAAGACACAGCCCGCTTATCTCTTGAAAAGTAATATTCTGGATAGTTTCTTTACCTGGATGGATAGAAACCTATTTTTGTGGGTTTTGTTTTTGTTGGGATTTCTTATACCCCACTCCCCACTGGAATTGGGCAGCCTTTAGGGCTTTTGAGAATCAGTTTGATTTTTAATTAATTAATTAATTAGTTTGTTTACTTATTTATTTTTGGCTGAGCTGGGGCTTTGTTGCTGTGCACGGGCTTTCTCTAGTTGCAGCAAGTGGGGGCTACTCTTCGTTGCGGTGCGTGGGCTTCTCATCGCGGTGGCTTCTCTTGTTGCGGAGCACGGGCTCTAGGCATGCAGACTTCAGTAGCTGAGGCTCTCGGGCTCTAGAGTTCAGGCTCAGTAGTTGTGGCGCACAAGCTTAGTTGTTCCGTAGCATGTGGGATCTTCCTGGACCAAGGCTTGAGCCCGTGTTCCCTGCATTGGCAGACGGATTCCCAACCACTGCGCCACCAGGGAAGTCCCAGTTTGATTTCTTAAATGTTTTTTAAATGATCTATTTATTTTCCTGGCAGACTTGTTTTACTTTTTTAGTATGGAATGTTTCAAACATGTACAGTGTAGAGAGAATAGTATAATAACTCCCATGTACCCATTACCCAGCTTCAGTTATTACTCATACTTTGGCAATTCGTTAACATTGTAAAAATTTTTTATAAACTTTTTAACTGAATTATGTACATAAGAAAAGTGCATATATGATAAATATACAGTTTGATGGATTTTCACAAACACCCATGTAATCTGCACCTGGATTACAAAATATAACATTTTCCAGGACACTAGAAACCCTCCTTCTGCCCTCCCAAAATACTGCCTCAGCCCTCAAGGGTAACAACTGTTCTCATTTCTAACAGCAGAGATCAGTTTTGCATGTTTTTGTATTTCATATAAATGGAATCATACAGTTTGAGTAGGAGCTAGGTCAAGAGCGTTTATTTATAATCACCTACTGTATACCTGTGTGCTAGCCTGGCTTCTGAGGGAAAGGTGAGTAGGGTCCTGCATTTGCAGCATTTGGATCTCTAGAGTGGCTCTCAGTGAAATGGGGATTAGGCTAGTACCCGGCTCACAGTGTGTCTGCGGGGTGGGGGTGGTGTGATGTGTGTGGATGAGATCATGCAGGTGCATGATTTCTAGCAGATTGCCTCAGAGCCAGTGCTCCAGCAGTCTAATCCATGGTTGTGCTGTTTGGGGTGAGTGCCTTTGGTTAGGATTATCCACTTTTCTTTACTCAGATAAAAGTATGTTTCCTTGGTAAAGATCTGATTGGCTGAATGGAAGCCAATTCAGTCTGTGCCAAGGGTCAGCCTGTTGTATGAGGGCCAGTGGTCAGGATGAGAAAAAGTAATTTCAAATTCATTGATGAACTCTTTTCCAAAGTAGGAACAGGATTTTCTTCCTTGAGAGGAATAAAAAGTAGCAGGGATTGGTTAAGGTATTTATTTACAGGCTCAAACCAAATTAGTAGGTCAACTGAAATTAGAACTCCAGTGCTCTGATTTCACCTTTTTGGGGGTTCAGATGCCCTCCTCAATTGCAGAAAAATGCATGGGGCTTACACAGAGAACTTTGGATCCAATTTCAGGGGATTCACTCCTGGCCTTCAGATTCAGAACTCCTAAATTACCGTGTCTACTCTGCAGTGTTCAAAGCACAATGTAATCTGACACATTCATGTATTAACTCACTTAGCATGTATATCTTAGAATGTGAAGGCACTGTGCTGGATGCTGAGGACTATGTAAATGTGGGAAAGTTGCTGTCACAGCCTCACAGGAACTTTGCGCTCTTGTAGATGTTTTAGGAGAATTACACCAGCACAGGTAGCAGAAGTCACAATGTGGTAATGGTTTAAGTCTGGTACAAATACAGGCCCCGGAGGGCTTAGGCAGAGAGGAGCTTACATTCCAGATGCTGTGTTGAGACAGAGCTGGACCTTCATGCATTCAGGAAATAGTGGATGACTGCTGTTTGCAGGGCATTAAGGAGTATGCATTAAATCCAGCACTGCTCCAGGTGGGTAGGTTTTCTTAAAATTATTTGAACCACTTAGGTTACATGTGATCAGTGTAGAAAAATTAGAAGATACAGACAAGCTGTTTTAAAGACTACACATTTATGATATGTACGTGTTCTGTAATGTCCCATTGTACGTGTGTGTCCTAAATTGTTTAACTGATCCTTTATGGGTAAGTGGAGTTTCAGTAGGCAGAGATGGGAGGGTGAAATGGGAGAACTTTGTTTTCAAACAAGCATCTGATCTTTAGTGTTTTTGGACTCCAAAGTCTTAAGTGTATTTGGTACAGGAGTTTTTTATTAAAATTAAGATTCCTTACCATGGAAGCTTAAGGTCCAACTCTGAAAAATTTTCTCAAGAAAAATGTAAGAGTAAGTTTATGGAATATAAATAAACTTTGGAAAACCGCATGAAAGTATCTGGAGGGAGTATTGAGATTGGGAGGGAAGGGAAATTATTGATCCTTCAAGAAGCTTCCAAGGAAAGGTAATGCCATGAACTTGGGTTTGACTGTAGCTCTGAGAGAAGTGCAAGTTCATACCACTCTTCTAACCAATAAGGCTGAATAGCTGTCAAGAGCTTGTCCTGTGCTCAGTGGGTTCTTAACCTTTTTGAGCCATTGACTTCTTTGGAAGTCTGGTGAAGCCTATGGACCCCTTCTTAGAATAATGTTTTTAAATGCATAAAATAATTTTTAGGATTACAAAGGAAATCAGTTACATTGGAACACAGTTCTACACGGGTTGAGCATCCCCTGACTAAAGTCCCTTTGCCATATTTGGAGCCCTACAGGACCTAGTGCTACGTGCGATGGGCAATTGTAGGCATTTAGTGAAGTTCTCTTGAATCTCGTGAATGGAAATTTTACTTTCCTAAACAGCTAAGGTAAACACTTATGGGAAGGTAACATGTATTCTACCTTGCCTTTTCTGAAAAACGGTTGGTTTTTCATTATGCAGTTTATAGGTGTTGAGTCAGTACAGGCACTAGGAATAGCATTGTGGGAATTTTTTTGTGACTCCTATTTTTGTGGAATGGTCTCTTTACAGAAGAAAGATCTCTCGGATCCTTTCAATGATGAAGAAAAGGAAAGGCATAAAGTGGAGGCCCTTGCCCGGAAATTTGAAGAAAAATATGTAAGATTTCTCTATTGGACAACAAAACAACCTTGTTGGATGGGAGAGGTTTTCAGACATTTCCATATTCCTTTAGTGGTTTATCATCTAATCAACACTCATGTGGAAACAAGTGTAGACCTTGGAGAGAACAGAATGAAGTTATTAAACAAATGTATTAAGATAAGAAAACACATGGCAGGAACTCGTGGGAGCTAAACGGATGAATAAATAAGAAGGGGCTTTTACCCTTAGAATTTATCCTGAGAATAAACGTTTTGGTGCAAAGCATATGAAGCCATTTAGTTCTTTCTTCTGTCTTAGGCCACTCTATGCATTTACAAATCTGTCCTATTTTGTAAGGTCTTCAGGGAATGAGGTTTTGGTGTGTGTGTGTGTATGAGACTGTTCCAGTGCTTTATAACCTTTAGTCATTAGCTGATGGGGTTCAAGGCAACAATTAATTCTGTGTATTAAAAAAAAACCCTGTGACCCTAGACCTAGAAATTTGTTAAAAGGGTAGATCTCATGTTATGTGTTCTTACCACAAGTACAAAAAAGCATGTGATCAATTTTAAATTTTAGGGTGGAAAGAAACGTAGAAAAGACCGAATACAGGACTTGATTGATATGGGTTATGGTTATGATGAATCTGATTCCTTCATCGATAACTCTGAGGCGGTAAGTACTTAATGAAACCTCTGAGACTACCAGAACCACTGCACCCTAGCATCTACCAACGGCGCCTGGAGGCTGGGGGTGGAGTCAGAGTGGATGTACCCTTAGCACGAGGAAAGAGCTGCACTGAAGGGAGAGGAAGTGACACCTTGATCTGGGCCTTGGTTTCCTTTATGAAAGTGGTGATCAGTGATGTCCAAAACACCTTCTAACTTGGACATTGGTGATTGACCAGAAACATTTCTTAGCATGCTGTCTGAAACGTGACAGAGAAACGTAGTCACATCTGCTCTGTCAAGACGCGCTCTGCACCTTTGGACTGTAGTACAGAACTTGGAGCTGACCGTTTGTTTTCCCCCCTTCAGTATGATGAGCTTGTTCCTGCTTCTTTGACTACAAAGTATGGAGGATTTTACATTAACTCGGGAACGCTGCAGTTTAGACAAGCATCAGAATCTGAGGATGACTTCATTAAAGAAAAGAAGAAAAAATCTCCAAAGGTTAGAACGTTGCTCGCTTTTGGATTTCAGAAGTGCTTTTTTACATGACCTTATGAGATCAGTAGGTGACTTGCCAGAATACGTGCTGGTTTAGGATGACTCAGGACATTGGCGGAAAGGCACCAGCTGTGCCGAGGTTGGCGGTTCCCTTCTCACATGTGTGCTGTGGTGAGGTGCCGTGAACCTGGAGGTCTTGGTCATTGTATCCATGCCTGTGTCCTTGCAGGCTCGGCAGGGATTCATTCGTCGAGGTGGTCCCAGGGCAGGGACGAGGGCAGTGAAGGGTGTGGAGTGAGGGGAGTTTGCACCAGCTTGCTGTGTCACTTCTGTAGACATGTAGAGGACTTCAGTTCCCAGGGCTGTCACCCCAACGAAAACAAGTCAGCCCTATGATAAGTTTATTTTGAAAGCTATCTACCACTGCCTGTGTGTTTAAAATGCAAGGTAGGCCCACACATAGCTCATTTTAAACCAGAAGCTGTTCAGGCTGCAGAATGGCCTCTGTTGCCTCAGGCCCGGGTTTCCCAGGAGCCGCTGTCAGTGGGAATGCTGTCCTGACCTGCGGGTCTGTGGTCCAAGGACTGAGCGGAAAGCTTTTGTTCGTGAAGGAAGTAAGACAGCTCTCAGGATGTATCCTGGGCGGAGCAAGGCCGGTGCTGTGTAGTGCACTTGCTCCCAGAGTTAGGGAGCCGTGTAACTGTGCCTTGTCTTTAATTCTCAGAAGCGGAAGTTGAAGGAAGGTGGTGAGAAGATAAAGAAGAAGAAAAAAGATGACACTTATGATAAGGAGAAGAAATCGAAAAAGTCCAAGTTTTCCAAAGCCGGGTGAGAGGCAGCAGCTTCTTTGCTAGGATGATGTCTGAACTGTTAGGGCAGGGCACCTGGGAGCTGACTCGCCCTCCTCCTCACAGCTTCAGAAGAGGCAGCAGGGCCTGGCCTTCCGTTCCCCCTCATGCCTCCCACAGTGCCATGTGGGCATAGTCTGTACTCTCACATCTCTGTGTGTCAGACATCAGAGTTCTCTCTGTCCCACTGTCAGTGTTGGCAGCTATTTCTGTCACTGTATGATTGCTGATGTTTCCTGTTCTCTTGGGCACCCCTCCTCTGCCCCAGTTCTCCTGTCTGTGTTCCCCCTTTGTCTTCTCTGATCCTGCTTCCTTTGCCTCACTTGGTCTCACCCCAGTCGCCCTTCAAGTTGCTCCTGCTCTCTGCTGCTCCTGCTTTCTCCCTTTAAATATCTTTCTTACCCCTCCCTTTTTTGCAACCTTTTATTTCAGCCTGGCAGTGGTTTTTAAAAACCCATCGGATATGTAGCATTTTGTGATACTGTTTTGCTAACCTATACTAAATCTCAAGCTTTGGTCCCAGCAAGAAGGAGCTCCATATGCCAAGAGGAGGGAGGAGGAGTAACAGGGTGGACTTGTGACTGAGGTTCCTGGAGACCATTGCGCTGGGAGCAGGGCTGAAGCCCCTCTGTGAATTTCCCTTTTGAGGTGTACTGCAGCCTTAGTAACTGACTTCCCCCTTGCTTGCAGCTTCACAGCCCTCAATGCCAGTAAGGAGAAGAAGAAAAAGAAGTATTCTGGGGCTTTGAGCGTTAAAGAGATGCTGAAGAAATTTCAGAAGGAGAAAGAGGCTCAGAGAAAGAGGGACGAAGAGCATAAGCCCGTAGCAGTCTCGTCGGTGGAAGCTCAGGGCCTGCGGGAATTGGAGGGCGCCTCTGACCCTTTGCTCTCGCTCTTCGGCTCCACTTCTGACAACGACTTGCTGCAGGCAGCCACAGCCATGGACTCACTGACTGATTTGGACTTGGAGCAGCTGCTCAGTGAGTCTCCAGAAGGAAGCCCCTTCCGCGATATGGATGATGAAAGCGATTCCCTTGGGGTGGGACTGGACCAGGAATTCAGGCAGCCCTCTTCCCTTCCCGAAGGCCTGCCTGCGCCCCTGGAGAAGCGCGTTAAGGAGCTGGCTCAGGTATGGTGACATGGAATGGCCGGGCTGTCCTGGAAGTAGTTTGGGCAGTTGATGCTGGTCCCGAACCACTCAAAGCTTGTGGCCTAGAGCAACCCTTAGTCAGTGGGCATTTCCAGTGTCAGTTCTTGCAAGCTTTCTTCTCATCCCAAGTGAGGGAACAGTGGACTCTCTGCCTGTCAGGCATCATTTCTCAGCCTTTCATGGTTCCTTCACTCCTGGAGAATTACTGTCTTCTGGAGAGATGTTCTCTTTTCCTACTTTCTGCCTGTCAGAGTATCTTTCCTTTTGTATAATAGACTGACACTAATGTTGGCAGCAGGCAGCTGAGGCAGAGATCCATCTTTTTAGTAATCTTCTGAAGGTTTTGAAAATTCACAGAAGTTTGCAGTCATATGTTAGACGTGGGGCAGTGCTTAGTTGCCACTGGGTTTAATTGCTCCCTGGACTTGCACGTCACCTGTGTTAGGTAGTGATTACAGAAATTCTAAATTGTGCTAAATAAGAAGGAGCTGAACCATAAATGCTGTCCATGCCATGTTAAAAACAATAACAGTCTTCAGAAAATAGCAGACACTGCTCCTGTTTTCCTCCTGGTGATTGGGAATTGATCCTTAGAGCATTAAGGACGGACAATTCAGTGATACCTGAATTCTGACTATAAACCAAGCACGGGTTGTTAGTTATGATGACTTTTAGTTAAAATACCATTTTATCGTGGACATCATGACTTGTGACACAACTCCGGTGGCACTTACATTCTATAGCTTAAGTTTTAAACCAGTGATTCAGAATCTCTGTTGTGTATAATATCCCTTGTGTTTTAGGGCAGGGTGAAATGTTAACCACTGCTACAAATAATTTTCTCACTTCCAAAAAACACTTGAACACAACATGTGAAATAATTCAAACGTCTTATTCAGAGCTCTAGTTCATCCTTGTAGAACATGCACAGTATTCTGTTTGAACATAACCATGTAAATGAATTATGCCATGTCAGGATTCAGAGTATATCTTAACAGGATGTTAAGGTGGAAATAGTTGAGTCTGAACTTGGCATGTTTGAGCATACTGTCCTGTGCTCTCTCTCAGAATTTATGTTAAAAAACATTACTCCTTATTCTTTTCAATCCTCTGGTTTGTAATCAAATTGTTTTGTAGCTTCTGAAAGCCTTGTTGAGTGAGCTGGGTAAGATCTATGTGGCAGTAGCTAGTCATGTTTTAGAGAAAAGTAAAAATGGCTCTTGGATGTGTCCCTATTCCCACCAAAGACTGTGTTCTAGTCTGATAACTTAGACTCATTATTTCATTTTCTTGGGAAAGATAGACAAATCTAGTGGAAACAGTGGTTTAACGTGAAATGGCATTGGGTTGTGATTTGAGAAAACCTCGCTTTCTGGAGTCTGTTGGGGGGACAGTGAGCAAGTTGTCTTCCTTGGTGACTGCCAAGTCTCAGTTGTCTCTTGGGCACGGTGGAGACACAGGGTTCAGGATCCCATAGGTAAGGTAGGCTCGGGTCCTGGTGAGGAGGTGGTGACCAGGAGGCATACTGGCTTGAAAATATGTTCAAATGTGAAATTGATACTTCAGTCATCACCTGCCCCTTCTCCTATAACAGCATTAAGAAATTTGGGAAATGGTGTGGTAAATGGGTATTACCCACCATCCTGCCAATCTGAAAACTATTTTCAGTTTACATATTCTTTTCTAGCCTCTGTATATATGTATTTATGCAGTTGTAATTATAGTTGTGAATAATTTCCTGGTTTTTTCACTTAATAAATATTATTTATAAAGACCTCATTACTTTTAATGGTTGCATGAAAAAGAAGGCTTAATTTAGAAAGTTACTTAATGCCACTCTAAAGGATCCCCAGCTGCTCTGTTCCCACCAGGGCCCTGCGCTTGGGGCACTTGGAGCCTCCTGCATGTGTGCACAAGTGCTCTAGACCCAGACCCTGTTGAGAGTCTTTTGGCAGAGATTCCTCCCAGGAAAAAAACGCCTATGTACACAAAAATTGCATATAATTTCAAAAGCCATGCATGGATATTTGGATCCTTAATAAGAGGCCCTGTCCTAGATCTTGAACTGGACATTGCATTTTAAAAATTTAAATTAAACTTGATGTATATAACTATAACATTAGTAGTGTTTATGTGTTTCTCACTTTATTTTTCACTCCCCTTCTTTTTCTTTTTTACTCTCTTATTTTTGTAATAGTTTGTTTAGATTTTAAATCTTGGCCCTAGAGGATACATGTATCAGTTTCTACCGCTGTCTAAAAATCTACCCCGCCACCCCCAAACTTGGTGGCTTCAAACAGTGACTCATTTCTCCTGACTGTGGGTTGGCCAGCGGTTTGTCTTCTGGTCCTGCCTGGACTCGCTCTCGGGGCTGTGTTCATCAGGCAAGATGGTGGCTGGCGCTGGGACAGCCAGGATGGCAGGACCTCTCTCTCCTCCCTTCTTTCATCCTGGGCTTTTTCAGGGCATGACAGTCTCAGGGCAGCATTTCAGGAGGGAGCTGTAAGGTGGAAGCTGTAAGGCCCTCATGATCTAGCCTTAGAAGTGGTATGCACCACATCTCTTCTGCCACAGTGTATTGGTAAAGCAAGTCACCAACTAGAGGCCACCTCTCCATGGGGGAATGCATGTACTAGGAGGCGAGGAATCTGTCATCCTGTTTGCAGTCCACCACTGTACTTAAGCAGATTCTATTCTTAACATGTATCAGTCTCCCTGGAAAAGTTTTTGCTGTTGGAAGCAGAAATTAGATTTGACTTCTAACTAGATGTGATACTTAAAACTTTTAAAAAAACATTTGAAAATTTATGTATGTTAAAGAGGTACTCCAAGAGGGCGACCTTGGATACTCCAGAATTGTTACTGTTTTCTTCTCATGTTAGCTCATTTTCCACTTCTTACTTCCTTGTACTGTACATTTTTATGGGCCCCAGGGAACCCAGTGGTTTGATTTAATGTCCTTACCCCTGTCTTCTCTTAATATGTATTGGTTGTGTCTTTTGTCTTGATTGTTGAAAAGTTCAGGTATGTTGCGCCTTCAGTTTACTGTCGTGATGTGGTTTGGCAGCTACTCAGCCTGCTCCATACAGATGACCAGCTCTGTTTTGGTCCTCTTCAATCCAGCATAAATGGAAATGATACTGATACTAAAAATAGAAAAGAAACAGAGACCCTCATGTCACTCACCATTCTACCTGCTCACTGCTTACCCTCCTATACAGTTAGAACCCTTGCATTGCAAAACCAGGGAGACATAGATCCAAGGAGAATAAGGTAGAAAAAAAATAACCTGTTTGGTCTTTGTAAAAAAGAAAATCATGCCAGATTTCATTCTATTCAGCAAAAACAGGTACAGTATATAAGGTTGTGATCTCAGTGCTGAAAGGCTACAAGTGGCTCTTCTTATAATGAATAAAAGAGCTCATTAAAAGGCTATTGGAACTATTGTAAATCAGCATGATCTGGCTGTTTGGTTTAACTTCATTTCCTAGTTAATCTAGGATTGATTGATTCGTACAATTCCTTGGGCAAGGGTGTCTGTCTTTAGGGTTGAGGGATGTCACTTCTTTCTGGCAGACTATCAAATATATATCCAACTGCTCATTTAATTAGATTTATTTTAAATTTTATCTCTGAGGATTTGGTTTTATACTTGACTAATTATTTTCAGTATAAAACCAAATCCTCAGAGATACTGGTCTACAGGATTCAAAAGACATCAGAAAAAAAAACAAACACATTTCAAAAGGCATCAGGAAAAAAATAAACTTAAAAAAATTTTATAGCCAGAAAGCTTCTGAAATGGCTGATATCTAAAGATAAAATTTGATTGGCAAGAATGCCCTGGAGGTCCAGTGGTTAGGACTCTTCGCTTTCACTGCCAAGGGCCTGGGTTCAGTCCCTGGTCAGGGAACCAGGATCCCACAAGCCAAACAGTGCGGCCAAAAAAAAAAAAATTGATTGGAAACCTGAGCTGTTGATGGCTCTGACAAATAGGCATTTGAAATACGTGTTAATTAGGCTGAATTAACATGAAGGTGCTTCTGCATCTTATAACTAGCAGTGTATAAGCTACAGCAACAGAATGACTCAGTTTTGTTTTCTCTCAAACTGAAGTCATAATCCCAGTACATTAAAGGTGCCACAGTGGATTCTGAATCCTCTGACAGTATAAGAAATGGCAAGTGAATGGGTTACAGTGATGCCCTTTCTTTCTTCCCTTTCCACCTGCTATCTTAGACCTCTGCGCTCTGCTCTAGCCATGCTTGAGTTTTGCATATCCTCTGCAAGTTTTGTTTGGTACTAAGCTTTTCTTCCCCGAGTTTTCATTCTTTCAGTGATAATCTGTTCATTTGTTTGTTCATTCATCCACTCAGCTGACATTTACTAAGTAGCTATTATGTGATAGGCAGCTGTAGGAAATATATTAATGAGTAAGATTCAGTTCTCCTTTTCCATGAGCTTGTTATACAGATGGACTGGTAGCCACGTAAACAACGGGCTATGGGACAGAGCAGGATGAAATAAGCTCTGTCATGTTTGGATGGCCAACTAGATGGTCAGGTGAACAGCCAGACTTGAGGAAGTGAAAGAGGAGCTCTTGGGGGTACATAGGAATCGGACTGGAGGCAGCAGTCTTGGCCAGCCTCATGGGAGAGAAGGCCTTATAGTAAGCCAGGGCACAGGGCTGAGGATGGGCAAGTTGTTGGATAATGAAGACTCCTGGTATGTGGTGGGAGGGGCTGGAGTGAATGGCTGGGGCCAGATCCTAAAGGACCCTAAATGCCAGGTGGAGGAATTTGGGTTTGATTCTAGGCTTGGGAAGGGCTGCCAAAGGGTTCTAAAGAAGAGTGGAAGGATTTAAGAAGGGTGGAGTGCTGTTATTAGAAGTAGGGACACAGGAGGAGCAAGAGCAGAAACTAGTAGGTTAGGTTTTGGACAAGTCAAGTTTGTATACCAGAGGGTCATTCATTCATAGAAGTAATTTAAGATTCTGGTCCAGAGCTTAGAAAAAAGTGTATAGAGTAGGTTTAGATTTGAGAGACCTGTGTGTGTTTATGTTATTTTGAAGCTGAGGGGGAGACATTATCAGGTGAAGAGGGTTCTAGATAGAACCTGGGAGCCCATCTGCAGCTGAGGAGCTAGTGGAGGAGACAGGATGTAGTCAAGAGGTCAGGAGAGGACCCAGAGGATGCAGTGAGAGGAAGGCCAGTGGGGCCAGAGGAAGGTGGGTGTTTCAGAGGGTTGATCAGGATTGATCATTTCATTTAAGACAATCACCTTATTGTTGTTGTTTGCCATCATTGTTACATATCAAGCCTGAAATTTTATTTTGCTTAAAGACTTTGGACCAGCAACTCTTGGGTTTAGATCAGTGGTTCTCGACCCTCTGCATGCTAGTCACCAGAGTTACTTTTAAAAAAGTACTGATGCTTACGCCTCTTTTAAGGAATACATTATTCCCCAGAGATTCTGATGTGATGGGTCTGCGGGGGGAAAGCTGCCAGGTACTTCCAGTGTGCAGCCAAATAGAGAACCACTGGTTCAGGCTTTTGCAGTTTGCTTTCCTCACTTGTGCATTCGGTGTCCTGGTTGCCCACTGTGGTTGCTTCAGGAATCTCCAGGCTTGCCATCCAGGGCATTATTAACTGTGTACTCATGGGAAGCAAAACACTGTACAGCAACCTGCTCTATCTTGTGTTAATGGGTAGTCAAGTATGTTAGTCATTCCAGTGGTCTGAGTAATAGAGTTCATGATATACCCTAATTCGATTATGAATTTTCAAAGAATTATAGCCCTTAAATGCTAAAGCAGCATGTTATTATTGTTGCTATTATTACTATTATTATTATTTTGTTTGCTAAAGACCTTCAAATACTGCAGGTTTGTTAAAATTCTTGATTGTTTTGTACTGTAGATGTATGGAGATTCCAGCTCACAGTTTAGATGATAGAGTGCTGAGCACAGGAGTTAGCTTGCTGGCTGAATCAGATGCTTCATGATTCCCTTGACTCTGATTTTCTTTTATGTGCCTGTTGTTTCAAGTCCTGGGAAGAAGGGACAGTCCGTAGATGCTTCAGCAGCATGTGAAAAGAGCTGGATGTACCACTTCTGGAGCATACAGAGATCATAGGTGAACTTAATCTGGGATTAGGGCTGAGTAGGGAAGGGCATGGTGAGGATTTTATCATCAGGTGTTCTGTAGGCCTGTGGGTGAGTGTGAGGGCCTTGCGGGGAAATTGCACTAACGGATGTTACTGTCTTCTGTGAACCAGGCTGCCAGAGCTGCTAAGGGAGAGAGCAGACAGAAGTTTTTCACCCAGGATATTAATGGCATCCTCTTAGAGTGAGTATGTTGTTTCTTTGTATCTGCTGTTACCATGCCTGGGTTCGGCAGGCTGGGGGAAATTGGGAGTATGATTCAGCTATGTATGGGATAGGAAAGCACTGATGAGATTTTTAAAAATTGGTTTTTATTTATTGTTATTCTTTTAAAAAATGTCAGGGGGGAGTTCCCTGGCAGTCCAGTGATTAGGGCTCTGAGCTTCTACTGCAGAGGGCATGGGTTCGATCCTTGGTTGGGGAACTAAGATCCTGCATGCCGCTAGGCAAGACCAAAAAATAAATACATACATACATACATACATACATACATAAATACAAAAATAAAAAAGGTCAGGGGCGGGGGACATCAAATGTTTGTCTCTAGGAAATGGTAGACCATACTAATCTTAGGCAGCAGACATTATTAGAACATTGTACGTAATAGTCATGGCATGCTGGAAGAGGATTTTGTGCTAAGCGTGAGATGAGAGGAGAGAGAAGGCGTTGCTTGCCCATCTCGGGGAAAAGTAAGAGACAGCTTGGTGCAGGCAAGGCCCTGCCCTCCTGGGGCACTCCTCAGCATACCTGGTCATTCTCCTCTTATTCTCACTTTCGCTCCCAAGGCTGTTGCTCATCATTCCGTAGCCCGTCTAACAAACACCCGAACCTCTGAGACATCACACTATATGAATTGGATTAAAAAGCAAAAAAAAAAACCAAAAAAAACGCCATGTGTATAAATCCAAACCAGATTCTTTGTACCTGGCCTGCCAGATTTGCCACCTTCTCTCCTGGTTGCATCATGTAGCAGAGGAAGCTTATTGCTCAACAGCTGAGGATTTTGCACATGTAAGAACAGTTGTGAAGACTAGGAAATATTCTAGCAAAGGACCTTGCCTGGCCAGGATGGAGACTGGCCACTTGGGTCAGGGAGCACCTGAGAGTCAGCACAGATGAGGGGTTTGTCTCCTGGAGCGTGCCAGATACAGAGAATTCAAGGGATTGAAGACAGACTGTGTTCTGCCCATCTAGATGGGGATGCTGGAGGGTTGAGGATTTCCCTGACCACCTAGTCAGGGACAGAACTTGGAAATGGAAAAAAAGGGAAAATCTGCTGGAAAGTATTTCCTGTCGACCCCAAGTAACTCAGTTACCTTACAGTTTGAAAGCATTTATGTTTTCTTTGTTTATGAAACTCAGAAATTCAGACCTTGTTCTTTTGGGCTCTGTTTTCTTGACACCTTTGACTTGGTCTTGTCTTTGACCTGAGAGCCTTGACCCACTCTACCTAGCCAAGTTTATTGGGTCTGGTGACTGCTGGAGGTCTGTTGTGCTGGCTGCTCAGTTACACTGTGACAGGCAAGATAAGGCTTGGCCTGCTCTGGGCTCCTACAGACGAAAGGAGCTGCGGTGAGTAACTCTGCTCTGTTCTTCAGCATAGAGGCGCAGACCCGGGAGCTGAGCAGCCAGACCCGTTCTGGGGTATATGCCTACCTTGCTTCCTTCCTGCCCTGCAGCAAAGACACCTTGGTCAAGCGTGCACGAAAACTTCACCTCTGTGAACAGGTGGGTGACTTTGCAGTGGAGCCCCTTGGCTTCGGGGCACAGTGGAGTGGGTGATGGAGTCTTTATAGATGCCACATCTGCTGCTGCGCTGCCTCCGTGCGATTATTCCTATAGTGTGTGCTCAGTGTAAGAAGTGATGCATAAACCAGACTTATGATATGTCCTGCTCTCCACAGGGGGGGCGTCTGAAGGAGCCTATCCAGAAGCTTAAGGAAGCCATTGGCAGGGCAATGCCAGAACAGATGGCCAAGTACCAGGATGAATGCCAGGCACACACGCAAGCCAAGGTCGCTAAGTAAGTGTGTCCCATCACTCCCTTCGGCATTCTGACCTCCTTTTCTTAGAAGTCCTGGGGGGTGGGGGGCGATGGTGGACAGAAGGAAGCAGTTCTGCAGTGACCTTAGAGTCCCGCCTAATTCTTTCTACCTCCTAGGATGCTGGAAGAGGAGAAAGACAAGGAGCAGAGAGAACGGGTTTGTTCTGATGAGGAAGAAGATGAAGAAAAGGGGGGCAGGAGGATAATGGGACCCCGGAAGAAATTCCAGTGGAATGATGAAATCAGGTGTGCCCAAACTGGGACCTTGCCTCAGTGGAGGGTTTGTGGGGCCAGTGTCTGAGCATGTTCCCGTATTTCTAATGGAGGTTAGAATCATTTACTTTAATCAGGGCTGCTGAAAGCACATGACTGAAACCTTGAAGAAGCATTTGGGGTAGTTTAAAGGTTCTGACTTCTGCCTACTCTTCAGGGAGCTACTCTGTCAGGTGGTGAAGATCAAACTGGAGAGCTATGACCTGGAGAGGAACAAGGCCCAATCCTGGGAGGACTACGTGAAGGCGTTTCTGGATGCTGAGGTCAAACCTCTCTGGCCCAAAGGCTGGATGCAGGCCAGGTGAGGGCCCACGAGCAGCCAGTGTGGTCAGTGTGATCATAGGGTGGAGCGTTCTTGCGATAAAGAGATGTCTGAGTTATTCTTTTGCACCAGGCCCCAGAGCCCCACCCTCAGAGAGTCACCGGCTAGTGGACTTGACTCTGATTTCACCTGAGTGACTGGGGGCTTCTCCGTCTCCCTTAGAAGAGGGAAGTTATCTGTGGGGTTTTGTCTTTGTCATTCTTTATCCCACTTCAGTTCAAAGTTGGCTGTATGCTCATCCCACTTCAATCTGCCCTTTCCTGAGATAATGGCTCCTACTAGAATTTGAGAGACAGATTCGTGTTGGGAACATTTTAATGTTCTGAACAGAATTCTTACTTGCAACTGGCAGGGGTGACTACTTCTTAGAGTTAAGTGCCGGACTTTCCTCACAGGCTACTTTGTGTTATATAGCTTCCCACGAATGGACTATGTCTGCAATACACAGAGAAAGTTACCTGGAACTAGTGTTCTTTAGAAAAAAAACTTTTTTTTTTGGTGGTAAAATACACTTTATGTAAGTTTAGCAACTTTTTTTTTTTTTTTTTTTT